AAAGAGGAGTTGAATATGTGCCTGTCAGGACCAGTGAAAGAGGTGCAGCCTATGTGCCTGTCAGGGCCAGTGAAAGTGGAGTTGAATATGTGCCTGTCAGGGCCAGTGAAAGAGGTGCGGCCTATATGTCTGTCAGGACCAGTAAAAGAGGTGCGGCCTATGTGCCTGTCAGGGCCAGTAAAAGAGGTGTGGTCTATATGCCCATCAGGTTCAGTAAAAGAGGTGCGGCCTATGTGCCTGTCAGGGCCAGTGAAAGAGGAGTTTAATATGTACCTGTCAGGACAAGTGAAAGGGGAGTTGAATATGTACCTGTCAGGACCAGTAAAAGAGGTGCGGCCTATGTGCCTGTCAGGGCCAGTGAAAGAGGTGCAGCCTATGTGCCTGTCAGGGCCAGTGAAAGTGGAGTTGAATATGTACCTGTCAGGACCAGTAAAAGAGGTGCAGCCTATGTGCCTGTCAGGGCCAGTGAAAGTGGAGTTGAATATGTACCTGTCAGGACCAGTGAAAGAGGAGTTTAATATGTACCTGTCAGGACCAGTGAAAGTGGAGTTGAATATGTACCTGTCAGGACCAGTGAAAGAGGAGTTTAATATGTGCCTGTCAGGGCCAGTGAAAGTGGAGTTGAATATGTGCCTGTCAGGGCCAGTGAAAGAGGAGTTGAATATGTACCTGTCAGGACCAGTAAAAGAGGTGCGGCCTATGTGCCTGTCAGGACCAGTAAAAGAGGTGCGGCCTATGTGCCTGTCAGGGCCAGTAAAAGAGGAGTTGAATATGTGCCTGTCAGGACCAGTGAAAGAGGAGTTGAATATGTACCTGTCAGGACCAGTGAAAGAGGAGTTGAATATGTGCCTGTCAGGACCAGTGAAAGAGGAGTTGAATATGTGCCTGTCAGGACCAGTGAAAGTGGAGTTGAATATGTGCCTGTCAGGGCCAGTGAAAGAGGTGCGGCCTATGTGCCTGTCAGGGCCAGTGAAAGTGGAGTTGAATATGTGCCTGTCAGGGCCAGTGAAAGAGGTGCGGCCTATGTGCCTGTCAGGACCAGTAAAAGAGGTGCGGCCTATGTGCCTGTCAGGGCCAGTGAAATAGGAGTTGAATATGTACCTGTCAGGACCAGTGAAAGAGGTGTGGCCTATGTGCCGGTCAGGTTCAGTAAAAGAGTTGTGGCCTCTGTGCCCATCAGGTATAGTATTTGTGCCTGTTTGCACAATACTGTAGGACAGTGTATAACACAACAGCTCTAATACACATTGTGCTGAAATACCGATTTGGTTTAAATGCCTTTTTTTTAATCACTGACCATGTATCAACACGAGCATTTCTTATTGGAAAAAGAAATAAACAATCTTAGCGAGAATCCTCATTGTGAGAACTGGTCTAACTCTAATAGAACTGTATGAATGCAATCTTTTCACTGGAGTTTCATGTGTGCCGTCTGCTGTTTACTCGTCAGGTCCTGAATTGGATATGTAACCAAAGTGTGACCACGCGATTGTAATGAGAACAGTCAGATCAGAACTTGGGATTTTTTTTGTACATCACACTTCACTGCCCATATTGCTGCTGGCTCGTGTCCAACACCCACACGTCTCTCAGCACAGAACTGTCATTGCCTCACAGGCATGCAGATTCTTTTGGTGGTGTTGTTCACAATGCACATGGATTTTACGTGCGACTTTTTTTGATTTCTAAAGCGTGCTTGGGCAAGTCTGCTTATATTGTTATATGAATGGTCAAGGCACGTATGAGACACACATATACTGACACACACCTGTGCAAGGTGCTGCTCCAGCCTGTGTTGGATGTCCTGTAGAGTGTGTATGTGTGTGCTGGCTCTCAGACAGGTAAGTGAGGGTGGGTGGGACAGACAGGACAGCAGTGAGTCAAACATACTCTCTGCCTCCTCCATTCCGAGTTCAGACACGAGCTAAAGGAGAACGAGAGACACAAAGATGATGTTCATCCCATTCCTGATTAAACTCCAGAATCAGACCTGCACAAATTAAACAATTCATTACATTATTATATTGCTACATGGTGTGAGGGCTATGTTGCAAACATTTCCAACCATGTTAGATGAATGTGTGCTCAGGCTATCATGTAAGTTCTATGGTTTTTTAAAGCTAATGAAACCCTCAGACATAGCTTTTCAAAAGCAATACAGTAATATAATATGCAAAGTTTTCAGTCCCTTTCAAGTTATCCAGATTTTGCTTTTCATACTCATCATTAAATGGATTCAATTATTTTTTTTAAATCATCATTCTGCACCCTTTTCAGACGGTTTTGCAAATGTATTACAAATAAAAGACCCTCATTTCTATAAGTATACAGACTTTGGCACCAATGATAGCCTCAGGTCTTCGTGGGAACGATTCTACAAGCTTCTCGTGCCTTTCTTTTGTAAGTTTCTCCCATTCATCATGACCGAAGTATTCAAGTTCAGCCATTTCAGGTCTTTCCAGAGACGCTCTATTGGGTTGAGGTCTGGACTCGGGGGCCTCATTTATAAAGAGCGAATACTTTTATGAACACAAAAGGGGTTTGAAATGTTCACACACAACTGGGATTTATAAAGATATACTTGGTGAGGTACTGAATGTATATTTATCGAAGCTTTGACCCAGAAGTAGCGTCATCCGCAACATTTTACAAACGGTGGGAATTAGCGACACCTGATGCATATGTAGAGAATTACAGCTAAATGTGTAAATCACTCTCAGGGTTTTTCCTAGGCTTTCAGAGGGCTTAGGTGCTGTCTGGGTTCTGAGGACATGAGATAGAGATATATATGTTTTTTTTATTATTATTATTATTATTTTATTTTTTTTCCTTACAGTGATACACTGACAAATTATCTGCTACATGTGACAAACTGCTATGTGCTTAAGCATACAATATATAAATAGGTGCAGGGGATGAGCCATTAAGTGTTTAAATTAAGTCAAACATATATTCTTTCAAATAAAACTAAAAACTAATAAAATACAAAATACAAACACAACTTACCGATCAAAAGGGAACCCATTCAGGATTCGATACAATTGTATTTGTATAGTACGTTTAAGATTGCCATAAAGCAACTTTACAGAAATCTGGATATAGATTTAGATCCCTGTTGAGCAAGCTGGAGGTGACTGTAGCAAGGCAAAACTCCTCGAGACGTCATGAGGAAGAAACCTCGAGAGCAACCAGATTTAAAAGGAAGCCCACTCTCCTCTGGGTGAGACCGAACAGTGGGATTATACATCAGTACTCTTCTACAACAATTGATTACTCTCCTAGAACAGTTTTATGACAGTTATAAACAAGTTGGTCCACTGTGCAAAATGTAAAAAAAATTAAATAAAAACAGAATGCAATGAATTGCAAATCTCATAAACCCATATATTATTCACAATAGAACATAGAAAACATATCAAATGTTTAAACTGAGGAAATGTACCATTTCAAAGAAAAAAAAAAAAGGTAAATTTGAATTTGATGGCTGCAATACGTCTCAAAAAAGACGGGACGGGGGCAGCAAAAGGCTGGAAAAGGAAGTGTTAGTAAAAAGAAACAGCTGGAGATTCATTGGGAACAGGTCAATAAGATGATTGGGTATAAAAAGAGTATCTTAGAGAGACAGGGTCTTTCAGAAGTAAAGATGGACAGAGGTTCACTGATCTGTGAAAAACTGCGTCTACAATTTCAGAACAATGTTCCTCAATGTAAAATTGCGAAGACTATAAATATCTCATCATCTGCTGTACACAATATCATGAAAAGATTCAGAGAATCTGGAGAAATCTCTGTGCGCAAGGGATGAGGGTGAAAATCAATATTGCATGCCCGTGATCTTCGATCCCTCAGGTGGCACTGTATTAAAAACAGGCAGGATTCTGTAATGGAAATCACTGCATGGGCTCAGAAACACCTCCAGAACTCATTGTCTGTGAACACAGTTCACTGTGCCATCCACAAACGCTGCTTAAAACTCTTTGATGCAAAGAAGAAGCCACATGTGAACATGATCCAGAAACGCAGCCGTCTTCTCCGGGCCAAAGCTCATTTAAAATGAACTGAGGCAAAGTGGAAAACTGTTCTGTGGTCAGACGAATGCAAATTTTATATTCTTTTCGGAAACCATGGACTCCGCATTCTCTAAAATAAAGAGGAGAAGGACCATCCGGCTTTTTATCAGCGCTCAGTTCAAAAGCCTGCGTCTCTGATGGTATGGCGGTGCATTAGTGCCTGTGTAATGGGCAGCTTGTACATCTGGATAGGCACCATCAACGCTGAAAGGTATATACATGTTTTAGAGCAATATCTGCTTCTGTCCAGATTCCATCCCATCTTAACTTCTGAAAGACTCTACCTGTCTAAGATACTCTTTTTATACCCAATCATGTTACTGACCTGTTGCCAACTAACCTCATTAGTTGCAAAATGTTCCTCCAGCTGTTTCTTTTTACTAACACTTACTTTTCCAGCCTTTTGTTGCCCTCGTCCCAACTTTTTTGACAAGTGCTGCAACCATCAAATTAAAAATTCCCTTATTTTTTTCTTCAACTGGTACATTTCCTCAGTTTAAACATTTGATATGTTTTCCATGTTCTATCGTGAATAACATACAGGTTTATAAGATTTGCAAATCATTACATTCTGTTTTTATTTCCATTTTACACAATGTAATGTGCACGTTTTTGGAATCGGGGTTGTGTACTCCAGTATTCTCTGGTACCACAAAAGCAATGACACACAGTGCATTCAGAAAGAACCCCCCACACACACACACACACTTTGTTATGTATGCCTTATGCAAAAATGCTTTCAATTATTATCCAGAGACCATGTGTGGAGAAGTGAGAAACTTCTAGATGGGCAACCATCACTGCAACACTCCCCCGATCTGGGCTTTATGGGCAGCATGGCCATAACGGAAGCCTCTCCTCAGTGCAAGACACATGAAAGTCTACATTAAATTTATTTATTTTTTTCCCCACACATGATCTCTGGAGAGGCGCACAGTGGCTTAGTGGTTAGCGCGTTCGCCTCACACCTCCAGGGTCCGGGTTCGATTCCCGCCGGGGTGGAGTGGAGTTTGCATGTTCTCCCCGTGCTGCGGGGGTTTCCTCCGGGTACTCTGGTTTCCTCCCCCAGTCCAGCTTGGCAAATTGTCCGTATGCGTGTATGTGATTGTGCCCTGCGATGGACTGGGTGTACCCCGCCTTGTGCCAGATGCTTGCAGGGATAGGCTCCAGGTTCCCCGTGAGCCTGAAGCAGGAATAAGCGGTTGAAGATGGATGGATGATCTCTGGAGCTCAACCAGAGTGACCGTCAGGTTCTTTGTCACCTCTCTTAACAAGGTACATGGTTGGACAGCCAGCTCTACGTCCTGCTTGTCCCTGTTCTTCCATTTGAGAATATATCCATTTTCAGTGGTTAGACCTTATACAGACAACTCTGTGCCTTTCCAAATCATGTCCAATCGATTGAATTTGCCACAGATGGACTTCCATTTGACTCCAATCAAAGTGTACAACCATCTCAAAGATCATCCAGAGAAATGCGTGTCACAGCTAAGCGTCTGCATGTGATATTTCAGCCGTTTCTTTTTTTTTAATACATTTCCAAAGTTATCACAAATCTGTTTTGTTTTGCTTCGTCATTATGGGGTATGGCGTGTAGACTGATGTGAATGAATTTTCTTTAAAGCATTTTTTGCATACGGCTGCAACAGAACCAAACATGGGGGAAACCAAGGGGTCTGAATACACTGTATTGTTCTGCTCCGTTCAACATAGCGGAAATAATTCAGACAGATTTGCCTTTTTTCAGGACCAGAAACCTACCTCTTTGTTCGTGTAGACATTGTGAAGATATTCCTGCACTTCAGACCTTAACGCTATCTGTGGGAAGACGCTCTTGTTTGTCACAGACATCATGGACACTGTAAAGTAGAGATGAAGCAGAAGAGGTGATTATACAGCTGTCAGGGGTAGATTAAAAAATAAAACAACTTCAGTTCTAGTTTATTCAGCACACTGATGAGTCGATTCTGATTAAACAGTACAGATCATTTCACAGCAACACTGCATCTGACTGCTTCTGTCTCTGACATGAAACTTTATGAATGAATGAATGAAACACGTGCTGCTATATATATATATATATATATATATATATATATATATATATATATATATATATATATATAAAAAATAAAAAAAAATAAACACACACACACACGGAGCTTTCAGAAGTTACTTATAAACTAGACATACTGAACCGACAATCTCTACAAACTCTCCTCCTGACCCAGAGTCTTCCTCTTTTCAATGCTCGGGAAGAAACATCTTTACTTTCGACATAGGGTCACGCCCACGTTTCCACGTCATATCCGCAAACGCCATGAAGGGTCATAGTTCAAACCTAGGATTGATGGGAACTGTAGTTCTCCACTTAGGTCGTGTCGGAAACAGAACCCTCGGTTCCTTTGGCGGTTTCATGACTGTTTTATAATAATAATAATAATAATAATAATAATAATAATAATAATAATAATAAACTTTATTTTATAAAGCGCCTTTAAAGTAGCTTCTCAAGTTTTAGGCAGCGTTTCGACATCTTTACCGTGAATCGGTTCGAGACGGACCTCGAAGGCAGCATACGTCACGACGTTGCTAGGATACCTTACATACGCTAACGGCCACTAAGCATAAAGTCTATTATGCGAAATGGAATGAAGAATCGTTGGGGAAATAAAGCATATATTCTGTGAGCACATAAGCTGTTTCTCTCATCAATAAAACCTTTAAAAAACATATAAATAACGTATGTCTTCACTCCCCTGTCTTTTCCTCCACCATTGTTAATGGCTGGCTGGCACGGTGCATTATGGGATATGTAAGAAGGCGACGGGTAACATGTATGCTAGCTTCAAAATCCGACCAGATTAAATCATCTCAGTAGGCTGCAAACTATACGATTCAGACACAATGCGTTCCTGCTTCCAAATATAGCGATACAAAGCAGCGGTTTACGTTTCGGACACCAGCACGGCTCAGGTTAAAAAAAAAAAGTTTAGACCGTAGACCCTCTCAATATGGCGGACTCGTTGACGCGTCGCATATTGATGTGGATCACAGACGGATCGGTTAGATCAGGGGTGTCCAAACTTTTTGTAAAGAGGGCCAGATTTGGTGATGTGAAAATGTGTGGGGGCCGACCATTCAGCCTGACTCTCATAACTATCTAAAACCTCTTTTAAGACCAGAACATCCTTGTCACTACTTACGACAATAGTGACATCATCTGCATATGCAGAAACTTTGATATAATCGCTAGGAATTGTAGCCTTTATCTGCAGACCCTTCAACTTCTCTCTTAATTTGCTGAGGAGAGGTTCAATAGCCAAACTGTACAGCTGACCTGAAAGTGGGCAGCCCTGTCTTATACCCCTCTGCACCTCAACAGGAACACTAAGACCGCCTGCCATCTTTATCATGCACGTAGCCCTGTTGTAAAGTAATTTTATCATCGAGATAATATTCGCTCCAAACCCAAAAGCCTCCAAAGCTCTAAAAAGAAATTGATGGTCAACTCGATCGAAAGCTTGTTCCTGATCCAGTGATAAAATTCCCACACTAACATCATCCTTCATGGTATAATCAATAACATCACGTATTAAATGCAAGTTATCCATAATACATCTTTATTTTACACAATAAGATTGATCCTTGTGTATGATTTTGTGCAATATTTTGTTTACCCTATTGGCAATACACTTTGATATTATTTTGTAGTCAGAACACAGAATCGCGACCGGTCTCCAGTTCTTTAAGAGAGTCAGATCACCTTTCTTGTAGTGGAGTAGTGTTAAAATTGCCCGTTGGCAACTCTTAGGCAGAAAACCTTTACGAAGACATTCTAGTAGAACTTCAAAGAGATCAGCTCCGATTACAGTCCAGAAGTGTTTGTAGAACTCTCCAGGAAGTCCATCGATCCCTGGAGTGCGACCTGAAGAAAGTCCCGTTACTGCAGCACTTAGTTCCCCAAAAGTAAGTCCAGTCTCCAAAGCCTGTTTATCCTCAGAGGTTAAAATAGGAAGATTCTGTAAGAATCCATCTTGGCTCTGAGCATCTGTGTTCTCAGCAGAATATAACTGGGAGTAAAAGTTCACTGCCAGTCTACGCATTTCTACAGGGTCACTTATATCATGACCACGGTCATTTTTCAGGCTATACATGTTTTTCTTGTACATTTTTCTTTTCTAAGTTAAAAAAATAAGAGGTTGGACCATCCATGTCTTTCACTGATAAAAACTTGCTCCTCACTAGAGCTCCTTTAACCTTCTCGTGTAAAATGGAATTCAACTTTTGTTTCTTATCCGTCCACGCTTGTGGATTACCAAACAGATTCCCAATCATGTTCTTTTCGATGGCAAGAATTTCTCTCTCGAGCCCATCAAGGGTTCGTCTGAAGCACAAGTTCGAGTCATATGTATACTGCAGACAGAATTCTCTAATATGGACTTTACCAATTTCCCACCAGAGAGTAATATTATCATATCTACCTTTTTCCTTCTTCCAAGTTTCCCAAAAAACCTTAAAGGTTTCACAAAAGTTTTTATCTTGCAGCAACTTTACATTAAAATTCCAATGAGAACTTCTATACTTTCTAGATGTCAAGGTGCAATCCACAGTGATGAGCTTATGATCAGAATAAGGAGTAGGGACGATGGCTGGATTTACTACTCTACTTCTCAAATTATCTGAGAAATACAGTCTATCTAGCCGTGCTGCTGAAATCCTCCCCTCGTTCACCTTTACCCAGGTATATTGTTTTACTGAAGGATTTTTTTCCCTCCATATGTCAGTTAGTTTAAAGGTTTTAGTGATATTGGTTAAAACTACAGATGATTTTATATGCGGTTCCCCTCCATTTCTATCCATAGACGAATCCTGTGTACAATTCCAATCACCCCCCAAAATCATAAAGTCACCATTTTGTTGTTGTGTTAAAAACACTTTCAATTTGTTAAAGATATTTATCCTGTCATCCCCTGTGTTAGGTGCATAGATATTGACAAAAACAAAGGGAAACCCATTTGCCTCAGCTCTAACTGCGAGTAGTCTCCCTGGTTCAATTTCTTTTTTGGACAGAATTTTTACTTTAGAAGACGAGGAGAAAAGGACTGCAACTCCTGCACTCGAGTTAGTCCCATGACTGAGAACACACTCGCTCCTCCACCACCGTCGCCAGTCAACCTCGTTCTGAACATCACTGTGGGATCTTGCAAAAAGATCACATCCAAACATTTTACCCTGAAACATTCCAGAATTATGGGAGCTTGTTTCCTATCCCTCATCCCATTAACATTGAGGGAACCCACCCGTAAGGTTTCCATAAGGAGAAGAGAAATTAGAAAGAAAACAGTCAGGAAGAAGGACAGCATGTTAGTCATAGTGCTCGGTCAGGTTCTCCCCTCTTTTTGCTTCTCTTTCTAATCTTTTCCTCTTCCGAATTGTAGTTACGTGCTTCTTTAATCGATATCGCTTTTTTTGGTGATAGTTCTTGAAGGCTAGTATTGTTCCTCGCCTGTATTACAGACGCAACAAACTTAAAAAAAACCTCACTCACCAACACTTTTGCCCTTTTTATTATCCAGAAAATTATTAATTTGGTCTACAGTATAAAAGTTGGTTACTTTGAACACCTCTGACCCTTCTGACCACTGTTCTTCATCCCTCATACTGTCATCAGTACACTGAGACAGTCCATCCAGCTCATCTCCTGAATCCTCCTCCACTGCCTGTGCATTTACCTGAACCTCTGTCCCATTATTATCCACCTTCTGAACTTTACCAGGAACAACAGCAGAGCTGCATCCAGCACTTAAAGTTATTTGTACTTGCACACAGCATGTAAGAGCTCTCTCCGTGACCGACGCGGAAAGAGATCTCCAGCACGCGCTCAGGTGAAGTCAGGAACATGAACACCTGCCGCCTAAATGAGAGGACGTGTTTCAATGCTGGATTTTTACATCCGAGCGGAATCATCCATGATGGGACTCGCGGTTTTTCCGTAACGT